CATCTTTCTTTTCTTTTCTTAAGTCATAGTACTAGCAACCATAGTAAATTATAAATGTAATCAATTATCTTGTTGTATATAGTTAAATCCTTAACAATAACAATAACATAGAATTTGTTGCATCAAGATGTGAATTAATATTTTATATCCAATATTTTGTAAAACAAATAAAACGATATAAAACGAATAAGTGTGACCAATTTTTGAAATGCAACGTGTGACCAGCTCAGTTTCAAATCGGAGTTTGAACTGGGGTTTAACCGCGGTTCAATAAACCACGGTTTGAAATGTGTAAACCAAACCGCATCGGTTCGGTTTCAAACCGCCAGTTGAACCGGTTTGGGTTAAACCGTTCCCATCCCTAATTTAATTATTATTATTAATCAATCCGTAGCACATTCATATTTATTTAACTTTATTTTAGTAGAAATTAATGATGATTCGCTCAAAACGTGCGGATTCGCCCAAGTACAAAGTGAACGAATTCGCGCAATTCGGGCTAATATGTAAATGAACATGTATATAAATAACTTGATTTCGACCTAATGTAAAAGTAATTTGGTAATAAGTTAATTAGTTTCGACTAAATAAAGCTAGATAAAATAGTAATATTTTATTTAAATAAACTTTTATCTTCTTTAAACAAAATTATTCGCTAATACCAAAATCAATTCGTTGATCCCCTATTCATTCTGATCCATGCAAAAATCAAAATAATTGTTATCACCAATTAAAACACGCTCTCCCAAATTTAATCGGTGACAATAGTTATAAATGCTACACATGTTTTTTTTCAGTAACATTCCTTTACATAAATTCCACCAACATTCACATCATTTTGAATGGTATCAAAAGATTTTTGTTATAAGGTTGTATTTAAAATACATAATAATATCCTTTCCTACATGTAAATTTAATGACAAATCTTTAATAGTATTAAATATGCACATGAAGTATACCTATTATTTTATATATACAGTTCACTCTCTCTATAATGAACACTAAGTAAAATCTCTCTATAACAGATTTCCTTTTTGTCCCTGATTCAATTTTTTATAATTAATTTCTCTCTCTATAATAGGGATGTTAATCGATTATACAAAAATGATTATGTGTCCCACAATCAATTAAAAGTGATTGACAAAATTTTATAATCGAAAAAATCGAAAAAATCGAAAAAAATCGTGTTAAATAAATTAACAATAGTAATGATAATAACAATAATAATTGCAATAGTAATAATAATAGTAGTATAGTAATATTTGAAGCAATTTTAATTTTAGAAGTCTGGTTTTAAAAATTAAATGCCATAACCTAACGAACAAATTCATACATAATATACAAATTAATATACATATTTCATTCTAAACATTATAAGCATAATAATAGCAGCGCTAATAGCAACAACACCAATAGTAGTAGTAATAAATAATAATAATAATAATAGTAGTAGTATATTAATATTTGAAACAATTTTAATTTAGAAGTCTCAACTAGAGAAATAGCCGAATTAGACAGAGATGAATTTGAATCATATAAAAACATACCCCAAGTACTTCCTGTTGAAGAAAATGAACCATTAAAATGGTGGTGTGATATGAAAAAAATTCCCAATACTTGCTATTTTAGCCAAAAAATATTTGGCAATTCCTTCTTCATCAGTTCCTTCGGAAAGACTTTTCTCTGATGCAGGACAACAAATTACTTTGTTACGAAATAGACTTAGCTCACAGTCTGTTGATCATATTCTTTTTTTGAAACGGAACAAAAAATTTGTTGACTATTTTTTACCCGTCAAAGAATAATAAGAAATAAAATTTTAAAATTTACGTTGTAAATAAAACGGAATTTATTGAAATGACATCCAATCGTGTTTTGGACATGCGACCTATATTCTTTCATTTTATTAATATTGTAATATGTAAAAGCTACTACTACTACTTTTTGCAATGTAAAAATCGATTTTTCGATTTGTCGATCAATTCATAATAATAATAATAATAATAATAATAGATAATCGTTTTGATTATCGATTACGAAAAATTAATCGATTAACATCTCTGTCAAAAAATAAATTGTTTTTCCCAAAAAGAAAAATATCCCGTCAACAAAAAAAATCCGTGTACAATAAAATTTTAATTCTTTTGTCAAGATCTAATAACAAAAGAAAAACAGAAAAAGAAATAGCCAGTGTTTCAAGGATGGTGGTGGTGGTTATTACCACTCGTCGTCACTCTAGTTATTTTAAAAAGGATGGTGGTGGTTGCATGGAACCACTGTCACTATTCTATATTAATTAAAACTGGAGGTATCTTGACTTTTATTTCTATTTACTTACAGAAAAAGAGTCCTTTCGTCCTTCTCATCACCACCCTTAGTTATTAAAAATCATTGTGATATAGGTAATAAAAAAAACTAGTTATTTTTTTAATTGATTTTGTTTAACTTTCTTTCATGATTACCTTTTCAAATAGAAAAAGAGAATGGTTATTACTTTAATAATATAAACAGCTACTGGACTTTTATTGAACAGAAAAATCTAAGTCCTCAAATATTTCATTTTTTACTTTTTGCTGCATATACATCTTGCATTGATTTCCATAAGTATGTGAGTACAGTGAAAAGAGTGTTGTATGACGTTTATCAGGAAAAAGTGGTAATGACTTTTCTTTATCCTTTATAAATTTTTTGGCTATGACAATAAAAAGGGGATTCTAAATCCTTTGCTGGATTTTGAAATAATGTATGGGATCTCCTCAGATGACAAAATATAATTATGGTAAATTTCATTAATGAAAATTTAATCTAATAAAATCATTCTTTGCTTTTCAGAATAAAAATCAAGGAAATGTGAATAGCGAGGATATCAATATATTCTGGAAGCTTTGTTCAGATGCATTCAATAACAACAATTTACATCATTTATTCTATTTGTTGATAAGCATATTGTGGAATTAGGATGGTTTGACGTAAGTGTGAACTATGTTTCATGGCCCTCCATTGATCAATGAAGTAATTATCAAAATTCTCTGATTTTTATTTAGATTGCTAACAAATTTTTATTTAATAATTTATAAAGTGACATCTGATGATCTCATTGACAAGCATTTTTTTGTTAAACTCACAAATGAAAAAGTAGAATCATATTCCTTTGTGTTGGAGGATCTTGAAGTGAATGATATTATCAATAACATAGATACTTGTGGTCATATCATATTACCTTTAGAGATAAAAGATGGGACAAAAGTAAGGACATCGGCTGCAACTTTTGATGATGGTTGCTACCACCTTTGCATTATGATTGTAACTGCTGGTTGCAACTGCCTTTACAACAAACTTTCGACGAAATGGGCGTCGACGAAATGATTGTTGAAATAATTTTTGACGAAGTAAACGTGACCGTGACAAAAAAAACCATATGTGTTCATATCTAAATATTTATTTATTTATTTGTCAAACAATTTATTTATTTATCAAATATTTTTAATTTTATTCAAATACATTTTGTTATATAATTTATTATATTTCACATTATCCAAATGTCAAACAAAAATGCTGCAAGAAATTGAAAACATCATTGGCAAAGATGTTGATTCTATGATGAATTATTATGATTTACATAAACTTCATTATTGTGAAGCAATTACAAAAGAATGTGGATAATACACTATTTTTTATCATCATTGCCTTTCTTTTCTTTCATCCCTTCTCAATTAATTTTTTTGCTTTGATTTTTTTTCTTTGATAGTATCAAGACTTATGCCCACAGTATCAGTATTATTTCGTTATTCCTCAAAACCTGAACAAATAGCAAATTACCGATTTCCAAAATCAACTCAATTCTTAATAAATGTCCAAGGTATTCATATGAATCCACTTCACTGGAAAGATCCAAAAGTTTTTAATCCTGATCGATTTCTAGAAAACTAACAATCTTCTATTCATAATAATTCTTTACTTTATTTTGATGGTGACAGCAAAATTTTGTCCAGGAAGGCAAATTGCAATGTTACAATTGAAATGTTTGATGGTCCTATTCTATAGAAAGTATGACATCAAATTAAAAGATCCAAGTCATCCCATAAAATATTTCTCTACTATTGTAAATCATTGTTTAGAATTACCAATTAAATTACAAATAAAAAAACAATATAGATGAGCTATTTTGCAATTATCAACAAAGTTTGCCCTGTGAATTTATATGATTCCCAAATATCAAATGGGGTATGCACAAATTTTTTTAAGGGTAAAAAGCAAAAATAATCCATCAGCAATAAGGCAAGCATTTTGTTGGATTTTTTTTTTTAAAAAACTATACATTATAGTTATCGAAATAGATTTTTGTAGTTTGATTTTTTTACGTGAAGATGAGTGAATTAATGTTGTTTTTATGGATAACTCTTATGCTTATACTTGGATTGATTGTGATGTTTTGCTTGCTTTGTTCCTATAAAGGTTTATTTCCAACAAAAATCAATTTTTTTTTATGGTGATGCTAAGCAACTTGAACCCTGAAATTTATCGGAGACATAATAATAATAGTAATACATATTCATTTGTTGCAACATGTTCCAGTCCCATTTAATATTACTCTCCTATAAAAAATCGGGATTTCTCATTTTATATAACAATAATCATGTAATAATTTAACCCTGAAATTTCAATATTAATAATGTTCACCAGTATTCATCCCCAAATATTTTGTTCAAATATATATATTTTTTTTTTTTCAGAGTAAAAGTTAAATAAAATGTTGAAAGAATTTAAACAAAGACTTTTCTTACCTCATTATGTTGCAAATTTACTTTTCATATTACCATATTTGATTATCCGTTATATTCTACCATATGATTATTTAGATATTAGTATCGAGGTAACAAGAAACCTTTTAAAGTCACTATGTTTTCAATTATATTTTGTTTTATTAATTGATTATTGATTATGTTGTTTTAGCTACCGGAGAAAAGAATTTATATGATTTTTACATTTTTGATATCATTAAAATATAAAACAACAGGAAGTCTAGAAGAGTTTTTATCTATTACATTTATATATGGAAAATTGTTTAATTTAATAATGTTTAGTTTATATGGAAAATTTTATTTATCTATACTTTATATTATTAGTTGGTTTGGTTTGTATTATATTTAATTAATTATATTCTCTGAAGTTTTTTTAGATTTCAATTAACCAATTACTTTGTGTATGTAGTTTTATATGTAGTATTACCACAACCATCTTATCAAGGATCATCTAAAATTATCGAAATAACTGAAGAAGATTTAAATAAGATTCAAATTAACAAGAAAATAAAAATATTTGATAACAAAGGTGATGTTGAGGATGATGGAAAAGATGAGAAAGGGAAGAAGAAGAGCGATTTAGATGATGAGGATGAGGATGAAGATCAAGATGGAAAACAAGAAGTATCTCAAAGTAGTAAATTAAGGAAAAAGAAAAATAAGATTGAAGAGGAAAATGAGGAATACTGGATAATATTTTGTTATGTATCATGGAGCAATGTTTGTAGAAATTTTGAACCAGTTGTTGCTGAAACTTCCTTAAAGTAAGTTTTTAAAACAAATAATTTTTCTCTTTTCCTTTACATATTAATATAATAATGTGTTTATATGTTTATATAGATATACCAAAAGAAATATAAACTTTGCAAAAATTGATTTAGAGAAGTATCCAGCAGTAGCAGACGAATATAATATATCATTGTCACCATCAAATTTCGATATACCAACTTTACTATTATTAAAAAATGGAGATTTAATTAGTAGATTGCCTCAAGATCCTGACACTATTATAAATCAAAATGATCAAATGAAACAACTTAAAAGTCCATTAATTAAAAATATTAAAGTTACTTGGGATAGATTAGGTTGGGGTCGAGACATGGTAAATTTTTTTTCTTTTGCATATTTATAAACAAAAAAATAAATAAATAAACCAACTTTTTTGACAAATATATTTATTTTAAAAACATTATTAGAAATCAATAATTGAAACCTTTAAACTTGAATCTATTTACAACAACAACAACAACAACAACAACAACAACAATGGTGATGACAATGATGACGATAAGAAAAAAAAGTGAGAAAATTAGTTGTGAGGTGTTTCTGAATATTGATTATCCCATTGTCAAGACACAAAATTAGGGCATGATTTGGTTTAATATCAAAAAAATTTCTTATATACTGTATATATAAAATATATTTAAAAAAACTTATTTGTTTATAATATATTGTAAAATTGAGCTAATGCTCAGAGTATTGATTCCAGATATATAAGGTAAAAAAATAAAAAATAAAAACTGTTGGAGTAATTAATCAACAATACCAAACAATGTGTTATGTGTCTGTATATATATATTTCCTAATTTATTGAAGTGGGATAGTCGTGGTGATGGTTCTGTTTGTTGTTCTCCAGTATTGGTACCATTATTGATTAATGCTAAATCTACTGGTCAAAGTTGTCGTTGAGTAAGTTTATACTTTTCCCTTGTTGATTAATAATAACATTATTGAATTGTCTTTGTAACAATTGTTGGGGCAAAGTTGTATTAATTGTCACAGGTTTCTGTTGTAAATTTGCGGATTTGGGTTTGCTTGAGGTGATCCTAGTGCTGTGTAGTTGTTGTAATCTTTGTGGCATTTGTTGCGACAATTGTTACGCCAATTTCCGTTGCACATGTTGAGGTAAATACTGTATTTGCCACTGTGAATGTGCCTGTGCTAACTGTTGTTGTCATTGAAGATTAGTATTAATGGGTTGAATGATAGTGATAGACCACTTATAGTTGAGCAACAAGATTCAACAGATAAATATTGATTAATTTGTCTTTGAGGATTTGGTGAAGATAAATGAATGATAACAAGAGAATTTGTCAATTTGAAGGGGTGGATTGTTGAATGGGTAAGTTGGAATTTATATTTATGATCATATTATTTTGATCTTGATTTGTCAACTAAAGATGTCGATGATGAGGATTGAATCGGTAAACCATTTGTTTGATTGTTGTTATTATTACCATTACCATTAATACTTTCATTGTCATATTATTGTCATTAGAATCAAAATATGGGTCTCTTGGCATATTATAGTGACATTAGTATTGTCAATATCCATGTGAGCATCAGTATCATATTTTGCGGTTCAATTCATCTGATTTTCTTTACTCCTGGATTGATTAAATAAGATACATATAAAAATATGGAGATATTAATATTAGTGACCAGATGTTAATATAGGGATTCATCATCTAACATTTGTCATATATCATGAAATGGCATAGAAGTGGTGTGTATCTTACCTTCTTTTTGTAAAGCTTATCTTAAATCCGCTAATTTGACTACATATGAAGGTACAACTACATCCTTGGCAATGTAAACTTCTATAATATATTAATATATATGATTATATTATATATTATATATTATATATTTAGGATCATTAAATTATAGGTACAACCTATATTACAACATTTTCTGATTCATTATAACCATTTCGAAGTGTTATAAAAGATGAATATTTTTCTATTATCAATTAAAAAACCCTCAACTTATTCACAAATTTCTAAAACAAACAATTGATAAGTTGTCAGTCAGTTATATGCTTACTTTTTCATTTCGTTTATTATATATATCATCCATGGTAAACATATCATATTCTTCATGCAAGTTGTGATGACTATTTTATCACTACACAGTGTTCTTTTTTGTATATTTAACCATTGTAGTTTCTTTTGTGTATATCAAACATCTATTATGATAGATAAAAATGAGGGTATGAAAATGATGGATTTATATGCCTGTATAATTTTATTCTAATAATAATACTTTTACCTCAAGAGCAACGACTAATCACTTCAGCAACTGGGTTTTCATAGATAGACTATACCACTTCAAATCAATTGCCTTGATGAGTTCAAAGAACTCATTTAATCTTAATTGAAATAGTATAATGTTAAACTCCACGAGGGGATGATCAACATCTCCAAAATATGTACATGATTTTAGAAAAATTTTATATTACTACTAAATAGAATGTTTAAGCCATTCAATCTTTCTTTTCTGCATCTTTCTTTTCAACAAGTACAGATAATCTCAAATGTCTGGTTAATTAGAAATGGTTAGTAAATTGTTCAATAATTTAATAATAAAAACAATCATATCTATATCAATCAAAGAAAATTTAATAAATTACTTTACTATAGGATCCAAACATGCTTCACATATGGATCCGAGATCTCATTTAAGACGATCAGTGCCTTCTAGAATTATAACTACCAAATATTCTGGTGTTTGTGTGTTATCACCAGTATCACCTTTAACTAATCGATTGCATGAGGTAAGTTTACAGCTTTAGGGCTATCAGGTAATGTTATGACAATTTTTTCACCAAGTATGGCCTACTTAAAGTTGCAAATAGTGTTTTCTTTATTCAGTAAAAGCACAAATCCTGTAGTACCTGTTGTTAATACAACATCAAAGTTTATCCTTATACCACACTATTGAATTGCGCTTTTTGTATTTCATTAAATAATTTTTTTGTTGGAAACTTTTTAATATTGAGGATGTTGATGTTGATAATTGGTTTTTTGTTGGAATAAACAAATTCAGCATTTATATGCTAATGGTTTTTATTTCCAAATTTTATAAAATTAAAAGTTGAACATAAAATATGAACCCGTAAAATTCTTTCAATAAAAGTAATAAATAATTGTAACTAATCTAATTTATACATATTTTAAAAAAAAATTCTCATTGTTATTTCTTTTATTCTCTTCTCCCCCTTCTTTCTCTCAATTCATTGGTTTTTTTTTTTAGATATTCATTAAACTGTCTTGATAAATTACATTATTAACGGAATGATTCTCCGACTATATAATTAACAAAATATAAATAAATAATAGATTTAATAACACTATTATTGTTGATGATTGTTAATTTACTCACCATTTTTACCACGTAATTTAACACCCAAGACTCTTTCAAGCTTTGCAAGGATTTGTTGATTTGGAATTGTTCTACTCATCTCATAATCATTAATCTAATAATAATTTATCTAAATTAAATATATATATATGTGTGTGTGTGTGTGTAATTCATAATATATAATATAATGCATTATACTTACAACATTAGCCTTTTCGTTGACTTTTTGTCCAAGTTCTTTTTGTGTTAATCCTTTGGCTTGTCTGGCTTGCTGAATTGCCTTACCAACTGTTAAGCTTACCTTTGGAGGTGGTGCGACCTCATTGTCACGATCAAGTTTAGCTATTTTTTGATGTTCAGTATTTGAATGACTTCTATTAGTTCCACCTGCGACTAAAAATATAAATGTAAATTAATACATATAAATTTAATGTACATGTTTTTTCCAATCCTTAGTTCTCTCCATAAAGAGAAACCTACCCTTCCGTTCTACACCTACTACAGCACCTGCACGTCTAGCTGCATTAATATTAGAATCTCCTTTGGCAACCTTTGCTTGATCTGAACGTTTACGAATAACTGTAATGTTGTCCCAATCAGTTTCACTCATTATTAATATTTGTGAGATTAAAGGTAAAAAAAGTGTATTACAAATACTGAATAAGCTACAACCTTCATTAGGCGCAGTTATATCCAAATCATCGTATTCAGGGGGGCATATCGAGTTAGGGTCGAAAATTGATTTTATTATTATTATTATCACTATTACTACAGTCGAACCTTGTCACAGCGGATGAACGGGACATAAGAAAATTTTATTTAAAATCCATTGTGGAAAGATTGCTAGTATTGCTGCAACGGATTTTTATATGTTTTTATATTAATATTAATATTAATGAAACAAAATTTTAGAAATCCGTAATGATTATAATCCGACCGCTGTGACAAGATTTGACCGTATTACTATGCATACTTGGGGAGTTCTAGTTGAAAGATATATTATGCATGTCAGCTGATTAATACAATCTTTTGCCGTGTGAAAAATTATTATATGTTTGTTTATTCTCAATTAAATTAGTCTTTTTTATTTTCTTCTTCCTTCATCTTTTCAAGAATTTTCATTCGACGAACATAACTTTTAGTAGCAGTAGTGATAGTGTGCGCATAAATATATATAAACAAACAAATAAATACAAATTCATTAATTGCAAAATCCAAATATTAAGTAGGTTTTTATATGGTTGATAGATATAACATACTCTTCGTATTGACATTTTTCATATGTATGTCTTTCATCTTGACATTTCCATGGCAAAAACCAAGTAGAATTTCTACATTTATTTAAACGTAATGCTAAATGTGCACAATAATCTCTCCATTCTAATGGAAGTCCTGCTTCACTCATTTCTTTTTGAGTTGCAATCATCACTTAATCGAAGAATGAACAATAAGAATCAATTAATATTAATATAAAGTAAATCTCTACCAATACAAGTGTATATATTACCTGGAGTGGCTATATCATCTTCATTTGCAATCATTGTTAAAAAAATCTTTATACTATTTTTATTAATGTATTATTAAAAAAAAATTTTTCAAAAAAAAAAAAATTTATTTATATTATGAAAAATGTAACACAGATTTGCCATTTTTAGAACAAAAATATATATATATATATACAGTATTTTATAATTTTTTTTAATAGGTCGAGCTATTAGGCATCAAAATGACTATGCGACGATTATATTATTAGATCATCGATTCAACACAAATTTTAGAATAAGGCAAAAATTACCAAGTTGGATTAATAAAAGTGGTAAAATTTCGACTTTTTTAAATCAAAAAATAATAAAAATTAATTAGAAAAGCCGTATACTGTACTAGTAAACATTATCATTGCGACAACAACCTCGAATTTAATGAGCAAGAAAGCATTCTTTGAATTATAAATAGAAGAACCACATGATTTTAATTTTTTATATAACGTCATAATATTATTATAATGAGATGCTGTACAAGGTCCATTACTAATAGGATTTATTACCATTTCCATAATCTTTCATGTACAAATAGCTTCATCTTCAAATTTAAAACCATGAAAGAAGAATTCAAAAATTTAATACTTATAGATAAAGATTCTCCACCTCTACAATTCATTTATAAATATTATAAGCTAGAATGATGGATTATGAATTTATTCTTTAAACGTACAAGAATTCCGTGCTAATCAGCACGGAATTTTTAAAAAAGCAGTAGACCTCTACTAGAAAAAAATTACTAATTGACCACCTATTTTTTTTAAATTTTTCAATAGGCAAAGAAAGATACGGAGTTTTCACACAAATATTCGATCTTGATTTTTTTTTTTTTAGATGTTTTATTGATACCAAAGTAAGCGTATTTTTAAAATTCCAAAAATTGGACCCATGCCTAAATCCGCAAGATATGCAATAAATATATGAAATTCATTTAAACCGAGATTTAAAAAAAATGAATTTCTGTGTTTAAAATAAAGTTTTTCAAGGGTTTACACGTGTTATCCCTAA